ATGTATTACTGATAGGTAAAGAACAAAATTCTGAAGAAAAATAATTCCAACTTAAAGTCATCTAAAGTTGAAAAGATTTTGAGGGAGTTCAGTCTTCCATCTTAGAAATAAACAGAACTTTAAATCACTAGCAATAGCATAACATAAACTTTTATAATAGAAATTATCTAGTTCATAAATCCCTTATTTAAACACCTGCATGAATCTTACAGTTATTATTTCAGAATTACTGAGCAAAAAGTTCTTCTCAGCATCAATACATCAATACTACATATTCTAGCCAAATATTTATCAAATACCTTAATGATGTTGCACAAGCTCTCCCGTAGTAAAAAGCTGAGAGTATAAGGAGGTGACAGAATCCTCCAAGAACTGGCCTGCCATATCATGGCTCACAGATTCTTGTAAATAATAGTAAAATAGCCTGACATATCTCATAATTGGTGTAAAAGACACTTGATTAGTCTGAATGATGAAACTACGTCCAGAAGAAATACAAGCTGGATCCCCCGTTGTGATTCACTATGTCCTATTTTTCATTATCTGTTCTGTTACACAAAACATCAGCAAGCAAAAACTTCCACTCTGTGCTGAAAATGGAACTGCAGATACCTCGCTAGCAGGAGGCATCATTTGGACACTCTAGCTTTGCTTACCATCTGTCGAGCATCCACTGGTGCCATCGCTGGAACAATAACGCATTTCAATCCTTTGCCTTCCCACTTCTAGCAAATTTGGGTCAGGCAAGCGTGCTTTGCAGGTGTATCGGAAACGTTGTTCATAGTGGCCACCATTGTCTGAAATATTAACTGGGGTCCAAGGCGTCCAAGGAGTTGTCTTTTTTAACTCTGGGCAGGCATTGGTGTTACAAGGCTGATATTCCTGAAAGAAAAATGTCCATAATTAATATAATCGTTAAATATGACTTAAAAAAATCCACAGAACCTCATAACAAGCAAAAATAACCAAATCAAAGCTTTTGATCTTTTTTCCAGCATTTCCAGTAGAAGTGGTCATCAATAAGCTTTTAATTACAATCTCAAACTGAAAGTGTTTTTTTCTGCTTCTAGGCAAGCACAGTATCACACTCCTAAAAGCAATAATATACCAGTACAAATTAAATCTATTACATCCATAAAAACAGGAAGCTGAACACTATATATATACCATGTTAAAGTGCATCCTTTAATAGCCCCAAATAAGGTGTAGCTGAATACGTCAAAGCTGTTAATTAAGAGGAATTCTGATAAACTGCAAGGACAAGACACAATGGACTGATAGGCACCACGAACAGATCACAAATAAGAAATGCAGGTTGGCCAATATTCTCAAGTACCACATATAGATGTCTTCATTTATTTCCCAGACCACAAAATGCTTCATCTGATGCAAGTGCTTTGTAAACTATATGAGTGAAATGAAACAACCACTAAATATCAGAATGAATTCACACTGGCAAAAAGTAATAGGTTTCAGTGGGACAATGTTTAAATGATGTCTCTACCCTTGACCTCTAAAGAGATACTCAGCTGAGGGTACCTTCTGAAAAGGAGCCTACTAAAGTTTGTAATTCCAGTAAATATTAAAAATAGAGATACAGTAGAAATAATCATTTTATCATTCATAGTACAACTTCCTTCTTCTATAACCCCTATCCCAACTGATACCTTTGTGTTCCAACAAGCTTTTTATCTCACACTTTCCTCAGTTCTCAGATAGTCTAACTTATTAATATATCCAATTAGGATGAGAATAATTCCTCTCAACCTATATTTTGTTTTAAAGGCTGTGTTGCTATTTCAGATCTAAAAGAAGATTCTTCGTCTGAAAGCTTTTCTAATTTTTTGCATCTATTAGAGTTGGGAAAAAAAATATTCTTCCCCAGAAACCCTTACCCCACTAGCAAAGCAAGACATCCCAGAACCTAGGGCTATGTTCAAGACTGGTTTCATAGTTTTGTGGTACTTCAGGCAAGAAAGAGCTCTTAGCCCAAAGATTTCAGCTAGACTACTCCTGTTTGCTCCTCCAGGCTGTGCAAAGTCCCTTCCCACCTTAAAACCTGGTGATCACTACAAGGGTGACCAGGAGTCCTATCAAAGACCATCTATGAAAGAGGATCCCTTTATTGCAAAGAGGACTGGATCAACCTGTCCAGGACCTGACTTTCAGCCTTGACTGCTTTCTGGATCAGAAGACAGAAAAGAACAAGCAAACTATCAGATCTTGTGTACAGCGGGGGAAGTAATTTCTTCATGACTCCTCTAGGCAACTGTTTAAATCATGTATATTTTAGACTGAAGACAGAACATGTAAGACTTATCTTTGCAGCACATGAACTGTAAAAAGGAAATCATAAAATGAACAGCAACAGCCAGAAACACCTTGCTTGATTCCTCAACTGGGTATTCACATCCAGTGTGCCTTCCCCTCCAGCGGCTGGAACACAGTGAATCTTTTAGCAAGATCACTCTCTCTTGTCTCTCTCTCTCTTTTTCTTTTTTATAAAGATGTCTAGCACTGATGAGTCTATCACGTCCCCACATCAGCTGTTCCACTATTTACTAACCCTCAAAGCTAGCAAATTGCAAGTTAATTCAAGGCTGCATTTTCCCCTTAATTTAATTTTCTGGTCACTGAATTTTGCTGTGCCTTTATCAACGATACTGAAAGTGTTCCTTGTCCCACGTGTACAAACACTTTTTTCATGCCCATACATAATGGTAAACCAAGCTGAACTTCTTAAAGCTACATATGATTTAAAACCTGATCTCCAGGTCCTGTGCATCCCTATGTCTTCCTTTTGTCCTATTTCCTTATTTCCCTTGAGACCGGACACCAAAATTTGACTTGGTAGTCTAGAAGCAGTTTTATCAATACAGCATGCAGAGGCAATCATTACCCTGTCCCACTTGACAGTCTGACTTTAATACACACATTATTGCATTAGTGCTGTTTCTTTCCACAACACTGCACAAACAGCTTAAGTAGACCCAATTATCTTTAACAATCTCTCCTTCTCTAAATCACAGCTTTACAACTACATATAGTCTCCTATCCCACACAACAGACTGGTGTTTTGCAATATTAAAATATATTTTATTAGCTTTTGCAATTATCTACCATATTATTTACTAACTCAACAATCTCTGTCATGTTCAAGCTTTATTGAAGATGTTTTATATCACTGTCTAGACTGTTGATAGAAATGTTAAGTGCTATTGACCCAAAAACTGATTCCAGGCTGACCCTGCTAGACACGTCCCAGTCATTTATATCTGTTCATTAACACCACATTTTTTAGTTTGTCAGTGAGCCAGCTTTTAATCCATTTAACATCTGCCATATATTTCAGTTTTCCAAATCAAAGTATTTTCTGTTGCAAAGGCAAATGTCTCAGAAAAATTCAATAACAGTCAGGGAGAAGTGCTGTGTCACTTTCAAATGTGAAACATGAGCTTTTTTCTAGTAGCATATAAGCAAAACATTCACAATAGTCTAAAAGTTTCAGTTCTTCATTTGCTGTTTATTTCTGTAATGATATTTTTCAATCAAAAATAAAAGCTGCTAGAAATGTGAGGTCTTTACTGGATATGGCATAGACAGGTGGGGGTCATATAAAGCAGAATGTGTGAGATATGCAATGAACTCTCTGTCAAATAAAAATAAGCAATAAAGGAAGAAGTTAATTGAGTGGCAATGTATTGAATGCTGCTTTGCTAACGCATCTGAGATGAACACGCCAGCTCACTTGCTCCTAGAAAGACAAACTACCAGTAATCAGTGTGCTTCAGGATCTGTAGTGCCTCCTAACAGAGGGTATACTCAGACATTATTACATGAGCCAGAAAAGAAAGGTGTACCTTAAGAGCATCTGCAGAAACCATTTGTTAGCTTTTCCTTTCTTCTTGCTTGGTGCATAGCTTATGAGAAAGTTTGTCTGCTGTCATGCCTGTCTATTCAACCATTGGGTAATACCTATTGAAAGGCTCAGAATGGTAAGGAAAATGAAAATACATGTAGATTACCCAGAAAATATTTCCAGCAGTAAATAATCTCTCTTTGAGAAAATTCAGAGGAATATCCCAACAATAGATGACGCCATGAAGTTCTGCACTAATAATGACCTGGCAGAGCCTGCTGGCTTCCCTCACAAACAGAGTGCTGTGCTGCTCTACCAACTACTGTGTCTGCCACAGAGGAATTGAAAATTGCATCGTGCTTGATGAAAGCATTGATGTGATCTGGCACTACAAAAGTCCAGTATAAGTGGAACAATGATCTGGTCTGAATGGTCTCAGATCTGGAAGTAAGTAAAGGAGGGGAGAGAAAAGGCACAATTGAGATCACACATGGGTATATTTAGTACTGCTAGCATGAAGACACAGTCTGATTGGAAGGATTTGTCAGGGACTGAGGATATGGAAACTGCTATCTGTGCTTGGATTATCTAACTCTCCTCACCTTGTTCTACATTTGAACAATTTCTTAAGTGGGTGCCATGATTTAACCCAGCAGGCGGCTAAACATCACAAAGCCATTTGCATCCCAGTGGGATGGGGGACAGCAATGAAGAAAAAAAAAAAGTAAAATTCATGGGTTGAGATAGTTTACTAGAACTAAAAAGGAAAATAATAATGATAAAATATTAAAATATACAAAACAAATCATGCACAATGCAGCTGCTCATCACCTGCTGACCGATGCCCAGCCAGTTCCTGAGCATTAGCCCCTTGCCAGCCTTTCCACCTAGTTCAATTGCCAAGCATGACATCATATGGTATGGAATACCCTCTTGGCCAGTTGGGGTCAGCTGTCCTGGCTGTGTCCTTTCCCAACTTCTTGTGCACCCCAAGCCTCCTTGTTGGCAAGACAGTATGAGAAGCTGAAAAGTCCCTGACTTGCTGTAAATACTGTTCAGCAGCTACTGAAATATCAGTGTGTTATCAGCATTATTCTCATCCTAAATCCAAAACAAAGCACTGTACCTGCTAATGGGAAGAAAAGTAACTCTAAGCCAGCCAAAACCAGGACAGTAGGATTTCAGGAATATGAAATATTTTCTCCAAAGTAATCTGACCAGCTAGAGTCATGGATACAATAAAAAAAACAATCACATACATAGTAGAATAAAAGTCTCATATGAAATACTGAGGTCTCATCTCAGCAAAACATGGTAAGAAAGAACTGGAAAAGCAGTGAAGCATTCTGCTTCAACAGGGCTGTTGAGAAGAACCAAGACAATGGCTGACAAACTCTACCTTGTGCTCCACATGACCTGAAGAAAGAGATGGGGTCAAACTCTACTGGGAGTGGTCACTAGATACCCTCAGGTGAAAACTTTAGGGGCTCATATGATGGGTTTAAGCATTAGTTCTCAGGGTACACTTGTGGACTCAGAACAATAACTGAGACCATTTCCAGATGCCAAAAATATCACTGCAAAAGTTCAAACTTCACCACATTTGCAAGTTCTTTTCGAAAGTTGTCCTAAAACTTGTGGCCTATTTCACCATATAGCTTCCAGTTTAGAGTGGATTTAGTCAGTTGAGATTATTAAATTTATGCCTGGGTATGCCCGGCAAAGATGCACTAAGACCTTTAAAGATTAAATTTCAGGGGGCAGCTCAACAGTTAGTTGGGAATTTTACACAAAATACACAAATAAGTATATACATCACAAATTACATGTCTATGAAAATGGTAAATTAAAATAACCAATTACCATGAAGCATACTGGTGGTAATACAAGAGATGGAATTACAAATTAAAAACATAACCATTGATTATGCTATTAACCAGATACCTTCCTTCTGTCTTTACTAACAATATCCTAGTATTTGTCTATAATGAAAAAAGAATATTACTATCATGTTTTGTACCAA